CAACTTGTGAAGATGTTACAGTAGAATAGGTTTTTGGCGTTTCATGACCTTATAACAGCTTATGATATAAAATATTATAAATTGTGATTTAAAATGTATGTAGGTTGTTCAAAATGTTGACGTTCTGCTTTCTATAGAATTGAATTGTTCACTTAGCTCATGTGCTCCCATATGTGTATGTGTTGACACAAGTGGTCAGATTTTTAAAGTCTGATTTATCTTTTTGCACCTAGGTGTAAATTATTACAGGTGTGGGGCCCAAGTGGGTACTTAGTTTCATATCACTTATATTTACAGAAAGCATGCTCAGAAAGGGAATTTGATGTCTATTCTCCTGTCCCCCATTTTTACCCAAGTGGCTATATTACTTTGTAGCTGCTAAATATGGCAGTTTGGGTTGGTGTTTTTCTTTTCAGTAATGAAAACAAAGTTAATCATCATGATCCAAACAAGCACTACTTATTTATAATTAACACCGTATTAATGAGCATGAGGAGCAAAGCACAGCTCCCAGATGTTTTAGTTTCCTTGCAAATGGTGTTTTAGTAAAGATCAGACAATCAATGACAAATTTTTGAATAGGAGTTACTTTGGAACTCTTATTGTCTGTATCAATCCATTTTTTATCAGACCATCATGAAAATATTAAATCGTACTTAGTTTACTTTCTGTATTTCACTTACTGGCACTTCAACTGACTTACAAAATAAAGGTTTAAAGCTTCTATTACACTGAAAACTTCTGACTCATCGTTAACTATAGAATTGTTACCAGCACTTCCATAATATTGTGTAATTTTGTGATAATGATATAACTGGGCAGTTACAAGAGTGTACAGTGAAGGTGCACATTAATGATATACTATACAAATTACAATTAATGCTTATTTTCCTAAAATTTTAAAACCTTCAGTCAGCTGCCAAGTATGAAAATAACATCAAAGGGCTTTTACCTGCCACAGGCTTCAAATTGAGGTGGCTGTACATTTTCATTTTTATTATTGTGCACTTGACTTTCATCTTATTGTGTTGCTGCATGTTCGTACTAGGGTTCATATCTCAGTTCTCGGGCATTACTCAACGTTGTTATGATTTCATATTATCTCTCAGAATGTTACTTATTTACTATTGAAGTAACACATAACCACACAATAACCGCAGTTAGAACTGAGGTGTTATTGTGGTGACTTCTGCATTAAACATATAGGATGACTTCTGGCCTCATTAAAGTCAAAGGGGCAGATCCTCAACTAGTGTAAAATTGTTGAAGTCAATGGAGCTTTGACAGTCTGCACCAGCTGAGAATTTATACCTGGGACTTTGGCCACTAACTTCACTGGGCCCATGATTTCACATATAGTGAGATATTCCTTGCCCCAATGAGTTTAGTCTTTAATTTGAAGCAAGATGTAACAAGCAAATATGATGTATGAAATAAAAGGTGGAAAAGGAGAGGGAAAGTGAAGGTTACAAAAATAAGACCATGTGATTACGTAGGTTCTCTTGCACAACTTATTGGTTCCTGAAGGTATCAAATTCAGCTGGTACGGAATGCGTTTTACATGACAAAATTACTGCACAAATTAAGAAAGGTGGATCGGAGCATACACAGTACCTAGAAGATTGTTTTCTAATAACAGTCGTCTGTACAGGTCGGTCCTGAGAGAATTGGAATTTTTGGTTTAGATTTAATAATACCCACCTCTTTTCATCAGTAGAACTCAATAAGCTATTAATACTGTACAGGCACATTATGTTACTGAGAAACTAGAAATCTAATAATGAATTGCCATAATCTTTAGCAGTATCTTTTCCTGTGGGATGGGGGAAACGTCCCAAAAATAATATGCGGTGAAATTCAGCAATGAATTTTAAAATAAAAAAGTGAACAGTTCCAAACATATTAATGCAATATAATAATCAAAGCATATTCACAAAAGTAACAAGGAATCTTAATTAAACATAATCTTTCTGACTAAAGGAAAAAACAAGACTATCAATTTAATTTTAAAAAATCGGACTCATGCCTTAATATTTTGACTTAATCACTTACCTGACCCAAAACACCAGGATGACTTAAGTCTCTCAGACTTACAGATGGCAGTGTATTCGACCAGTGTATTTTTACACCAGTGGCACAGTGTGTGTGGGGAAAAAAGGGAATGTTAAAGTGGTGAGAATAATGTACGCATTGTTAGTTAGTAATAAATCACAAACCTGCATATGTCAGAAAAACTGAGCTATGATTTTTAATATAGGCCAGGTTTAGGTTGGCAATAGATTTTTGTGGCCTACCATCTTGATTTTTAAAATTAGAAATCAGTAATATCAAATTGAGATTTGCAGAACATAATTTTTCTTACTATATGATTTTTAAGAGGTGCAGGAAAGTGTCTGGATTGTATATCTGTTCGCTTAGCATATTTCTTTATTATTCAGTAATTATCACACTTATAATTACAACATTGCCCTTCTAGAGATGGAAAGGCACAGCACTAAGTAATGCAAAGTTATTTGATCAACAAAAATGTTTCATTAACCTATTGCTGTTGAGAATTGTTCTGTTAAGTGACACTGAAAAATAGCAGTTTAAGCCTTGAAGCAGTAACTTATAACCAACATCAGGTTAAACACACGTTATTGCAGTGGTTCTCAACCATAGATGAAGAATACATAATTATACAGAGATTACAACATAAGCAGTATTTATGGCTATGTCAATTCTAATTCCACCAGTGTGAAGAAGTCTGGCTCTACTCATGTTCTTGTCATCTACTTGTCTATTCCTAAACTGCCATTTTTTCCCACTAGCATTTGTGCTAGTTGTTATGATGTTGTGAAGTGCCTCACTCAAACCCAGGAAGAACAGCACATAGAGAGCTATAAAGGGTGAACGTGACCTCATACCCTCTCATTATCACTACTTCATCATGTCTAAAATAGATTTTGTTTTCTGATATTGCTCCATGTCATGGGAACAAGGGAGGGAGAGGAACTGGAGGCTGATTTTTCAATTTGCAGCAGTTGTGCAGCTGGTTTTGCAAATAACTTGATGGGGTCTTGGAGAATATCAATCACTTTCTGAGATGAACTAACGAAGGCAATCACATACACAAATGTACTTTCATAATCCTGCCAAAGATAATCTTAGTTGAGATGTATATAGTATGGTTTCATACAGAGTTTCTCGAGGCTTTACATAGATTGGTATCATCCCCATTTTCCCAGTGGGAAAGCTGAGGCATAGAATGCTTCGATCTTTCCTTCCTAATAAGTATATTCCTCATTCATAAAAAGATACTTTGCTTTTCTATTTGATGTACCCTCCCCACGTTTTCCTGTCTCTCTAATCTTTCTATCGGCCCTGGTTTGAAGCTGGGCATCCTAAAATACTCCTTAATGCTTGGTAGAGCAACCCCCTCATCCTGTGTCAACCTATACAATGAACTACATTTAACTCCATCCAAAAATAAAATTGGATTTTCTCCTCTTCTTTTTGTGTAAAACTACCAATGTTTGACAAGAGGCCTGTAGTAATTCTCATCACCTCAGTAGTTCCAGTAGCTTTTCGTTGAATGTTTTCAAGCATTACACCACAGTAAAATATATTGATTCTTTTCAAAATGCTGTTTCATAAGAAGGAATTCACTTTTTATCATTAGTTGGTAATGGAATATTAACTCTGGGTCAAGTATACACACTATAATTTCCCCGTTTCAATTTAAACTTTTTTGAGTCTACTGCACTCTGCACTACAACTCCATCTGGGCTAGATTTAGCTATATGGAACCAATGATGGGACTACACACTGGCTAAATTTGACCCAGAGATTTCAATGAACCCTGAGCACCTTTAGAAACATAGTTGTGTATCAGATCCAAGAGTTGTCATCTCTAGTCATTTTACAAATAGGGTTCATAGAACTAATGACTATCCTACGTTCAATGGGTGGAAAATGTTGAGGACTATGTAGCTCCTTAAACTAGGCTTCTGCCCTGTTAGATTCTCCTCCTTTGCTGAAACAACCAGTTGGCCAGATCAGTTCTTTTTCTTGTTAAACATAGGCACATTTGTATACAAGTATCTCCTATCCCAATCTTAGAAAATAATAAATGCAAGTATATTACACTCATTTTACCCTCTCCCCCCCAGTTTGCCCAGTTCTCCTTATACCAAATCTTGCACAATACACAATTATCCTTGACATTTGTTTCATACATCTCTGGTTAACCATTCTCTCCTGTTTTCGTAATGCAGCTGTTACTGAGATGAATGTAGATGGTACCACTTTCCCTTTGATGTGGCACTGCTACATTGCACACCTGCCCACTGGACCTTACGTTATCAGTGGATTAGCTTAGATGTTCATTAGCTGCTCTATTACTTATCATACATCTGTTTTGCAGAATAGTTTCAAGTCCTATAGTTTCACAAATCTGAGTCTTTGATAGTACCATTATAAGTATTTTACGTTGACATTTCTTAATTTGCATGAGTATTTTGCTCATTCCGATTGTCTACATTGATATGTTAAACGCAATAGTTCTTTATAGAGTTATCATTCTGATTATTTTCAAGATGTCAAAATATATTTTTCCCAGCATAACTGTCTTCCCCTACCCAAAATTATGTCATTTAATCTTTTCAAAACAGATTTGTCGTTGATCTGTTTTTTATATATTTTCCCCCAAAATTTGTTCCTCCTTAAGACTGTCCCAGTAGCAAAACCAACTCAGCAAGGAGTGACCACCCAGGAAATCTAGTCAATTGGTGTGACCATATAACTTGTCCTGCCATGAAATCTGGAAACCATTTGTCTAAGAGAAAAGGATTTGCAATACTGGGGTATTGCACTATTAAGAATTAATTGTCAGAGTAGTCATCATTCCATCAGCTTTTATTTTTGCTGTCTCTTACCTTTTTCTTTTCCAGTTGGTTCATTAGGTAGTTCAATTTAGGCAAAAAAAAAAGTGCTTTAAAAATTTGTTTTGTTTTCAACAGTGCCCTTAAAGATAGCCGTTTCCCCCCAATGACGAGGGATGAGCTGCCACGGCTTTTCTGCTCAGTGTCTCTACTCACTAATTTTGAAGATGTATGTGATTACTTGGACTGGGAGGTAAGGATTCCAGATCTTTTTAAAGAAAGTTATCTTGATACCAGTATCCTCTAGTTCCTCCCAACTAATAAGAAAATAACTGAAATTTTGGAATATTTAGTGTAGTTCTCCTATTGTCATAGTTGTCTTTTATACACATAAGATGAGGCATCTCTGGTGTTTCCTGGGAGATGTGGTGTTACCATGCAAGTTCTCAGGGTATGAAAACCATAGAGTGGAACTGAGCCATTTTCATGCCCACTGGATGATCACAGTAAACCTGTGTTCTTAAAAGAGAGACATGAACAAGACACCATTGGTGGTTGGTTTTTTTTTTTTTTTTTTTTTTTAAGATTAAATTCTGCAATATTACAATAGACATCGTCCAAAATACATCCTTAGTTTTTGGATCAAAACTTTCTGTAATATAGTAGTTATAGAGGAGACCAAGACAGTCATAGTCCATCGCTCTGCTAGAACAAGATAAGTCTCTAGAAAGAGGCTGTACCAGACAATATATACTGATACTACATTTGACCTTAAGCTGCTGGAATCACATAGTACACTCATTGCACGCACACACACACAAAAAAAGGCCCCACACAGCTGCCTCATTTAGATATAGGAATAAGCATGGATGGCTGAAGCCAAATAACACTTTATCTAGTGAAAATGGTGCAAGCCGGACACTTAGAACCTGTCCCCACTAATCCCTTGAAAACAACGAAAACCAAATATACCATTTATTTTTCCAATTTAATACTTATCCTGTGAAGAGCAGCATCCACTTTACTTGTTATGGTTAAAGGGAAACTGCACACATTGTCGACACAGCAGCATAAAAACTCACAGATTAAGAAGTAATTGCTGTTATGTCTAAATTTCTTTTTTTTTTTAACAATGTATATTTGAGTGTGACAGTTTTACTGAGAATTTGTCACTTGTGAAAATAATGGACATGTTCTAGTCCACTACAAAGAAAACAAATTCCACTGTCTTGTGTTAATAATGGTTTAACACACATAAAAGAGCTCTAATGCTTAGTGTTCGTTTTTTAAAAATTGTGAACAGTAATGCTTTTCTATTGGCTGTATGTGCAGGTTGAAAACTGGTGTATAGTCTCCACAATTGGGTGCTCTCACTGGTAAAGGTCATAGGGGACCTCATTTTCATTGGGGTGACTGTCTCCAGCGTTCGCCTTAGAAGTGCCAATTGTACAGTAATTGAAAGCTTAAATATAATGCATTTCACAGTTAATTGGTAGTGACAACAGCTTCATGTCTTCGCTACTGCTGAGAAAAATGGGTGCAAGTTTTCTTTGAGGAACGATCAGTGTTTTCACCATAAACACCATTTTTCATGATTTATCTCTCATCTGTCAAAAATTTACTCTGAGTTGAAGCTTTGTCCTAAACCAGGAACAGTTCTTTTTAGACAATCCAATTGTTGGTCTCTGAGCTACAGAAGTACAATATATGTTTGGACCACAATTTTTCAAGCGTTAATAACTACAGCGACTTTTTAAATGAAACTTTACAGGCCAATAATTAAATCAATGTAGTAAATAATTTAAACTGTCTGGTTGAGATTTTGTCTAGTCTGCTTGCTACAGTTTAGCATGTTCAGAAACTGTTTTTCATAACGTTTTAAATGCACGCTAATATTTTATTGGCTTCATGCTATCGTCTAGTACAGTACAATGTAATGATCATTATCTTCCCAAGTTGAAATATGCATTTCAAGTTTCCAGATAAATACTTTTACATAATGACAAACTGTTTCAAAGCCTATCAAATAAGCATATTGCTTAAAAATGACCAAAATACATATTTGTTCAAGAGAGGGGCTTAAACCAAAACCCCAGCTCAGAACACCCACCAAACTCTGGGAACGTTGTGATCTGGAGCCCATCTTCTAATTTATACCTTAAATGTCTGTATATATGTAACTTTAGGAATTTCACTTTCTGTATTTTATTGCAAAGTCCTATCGAATTTAATAACAGAAGAAAAAATATGATATGACAGAAATTACTTTAGATAGTAATAAAATATAAATTCCTTTCGATAGAATTTGTAATCCTCCCTATTGAATTAAATAGAGAACTATATCCCAGCTATAGAATTCTATACGTTGGTTTAAAAATTCTATAGAAAAATATTCGCTATGAAATTTCTCAAGACACTTCAATAAGGGAAACCATTAACCTTTTTTGGAAGGGTGGGAAAGGCAAGAGTACACCTCTACCCTGATATAACACAAATTCGGATATAACATGGTAAAGCAGCGCTCGGAGGGGAGCGGGGGGGCTGCGCAGTCCGGTGGATCAAAGCAAGTTCGATATAACGCGGTTTCACCTATAACGCGGTAAGATTTTTTTGGCTCCCGAGGACAGTGTTCTATCAGGATAGAGGAGTATTGTCAAATATTTTAATATTATACTTTTAAAGCCTCTAACGTGGTAAGGGAATCAAAAGAGGTGGCCATAATATAATGAGTCTCCTGAAACATGGCAAAATCCTGTAGTTCTTTCTGCCATGCTTTTCAAGTGATGGTGCTGTATATAACTCTAAATGACTTACAGGCATTCCATATAAAGTAAGAAGTTTATACTGAAATGTTAGTCCTTAAAAGAATGATGTGTCACTGTACATGCCCCTTACAGTGAGACAGCTTATGTCATCCATGTTTCTTTTAAGGGAACTGCAGTTATGCAATGTCAGTGGCAAAAAGACATTTCAAGATGGCTAGAATATGACCTAAAGAGAGATTCTGGGTCTTCCATCTGGTATAACTGCTCATTTCCAGATCATCCTGAAAAATCATCAGCCTGGTTAGGAGACCTTACTTCTGTAGGTATGCTATTGAGATCTTGTGGGAGCTAATTCAGCAATTTGCTGACAGAAGTCAAAATATTTCAAAATTGCAGATCCAGACAGCTTGCAGTGCTGTGGTGGTTTAGAGACGAGATCATTTGAAGACATGGCTCAGGACAGGAGTGCCTCCTATACCCTGAAACAGACTGATAGATCTTCCTTCCACTGATTAATGAATTGTTTTCCCAAACTGAAGAGATCAGTTTTTCAGTTGCAGCAAGCAGTGAGAGATCCTCTTTGCAGCAGAGACTTCAGGCGAGTAAACAGGAGACATGAGTGAATTGACTGCCATTAGCTCCCATATGATTTTTCAAATTGCCACCATTTTCACCTCTTATAAAGGTTTGCACCTTTTTCTATTTACTGTCGAAGGATCACTTCAGTACAGTGGTTCATGAAGACACTTCATAAAATACACAGGGTTTCCATTCACGCATGACTGTATATGATTGCACTATGCATCAGTAGTTCACACACGTGGTGGTTTGAAATGGATGCTGGGCAGATATGCATTGTCTCCTCATTTCTCTAAACACAGAGTCTTCCTCCCACGAGACATCTCTCCACTACCCCTGTCCAATGACTACTTGTGTGTAGTATCACAGCCTTTCCATCAAAAAAAGGTCTGAGACAGGCAGTGTCATGAATTCTGGGATATGTTTTTGAATGATAATACTTTAGTAGAGAACGTACACACCAGAGGGCAAGTGGGGAAGCAGCTCATGGAGGTAAAATACTGTTTAATGCTGCTGACATGGAGGCAGTAAGATCTGCACCCTTTCACATCCACCAGTGTATCTGATGGGACATTGTCTCCCATTCCATTTCCCCTTTCAGCCATCCATCCCCAAAGCAAACTCAGCTTTATTCCTCCCTTCACCCTTCTTACACTCACCTTCCTAATTTCTCTACCCTTCCACTAAGGTCATCCCCGCCCTGCACAGACTGCAATTCCCTCTTCTCCAAAATTATTTATTTTTTTTTGCTCGTTGCTTTTTGCTCTTGAATTCCTTTATTCTCAACTCATGTCAGAGTTGGAATCTTTACACTATTTAGCGAGACATTTCCTTACAATACAATGCTCCACAGAGGAAATCAAACACAAAAAAAGTTCTGCTAGGTTACTAAACAAGACAGTGGGTTTCAGAATCCTTTTTTAAAAAGGGAATTGTTTGGTTTGCTTAGAGCCTAAGAAAAAAGAGGAGATTCCTATCCATTCTGCATCTCAGGCCACTGAATCCCTTACCCCATGAGAGAGGTTCAGGATGCTGTATTAGGAGCCCCTGGGAGGAAAAAACTGAATCCTATTAATGGATAGGACAGGTATGAAATATGCTTAAATGTTTCATGAGGCAAGCTTTGGTACTACAGACTCTGGCTATTTGGGAGTAGATACCTTGTTAATGTGTGAAAGACAAACTAATTTATACATTTTCTGCATTTCTCTTCTATGAAAATACAGAAGGAAGCAAAAGCTATGCTCTCATTTCTCAGTCACTCACACCCAATCGCAGATGGGTTTCCCCAGTACTTTTCCTTTCAGTTATTTTTTTTCTCCTGTTAAGATCATCTGTGTCTTCTCACCACAAAGTGATTCAGATTCCTTGAGAAAGCTTTGGAATATTGAAACAAGCCTTCCTGACGTCAAGAAAAGTCAGAATTCGGACAGAACAGAAAATTAGCCAAGTTTCTTCAGTAGCTCCACATTAAGCATACTGTCATACAAATTCAGGCTATTTAATGGCCAGTATTTTGTCAGCTTCTGGTTCCTAAAATACTGTGAAATGGTCTTCTATCCTGAGTTTTGTTGTCCTTCGATGAAATGCTACCAATCTGTAGAAGACTCTTGAGACTGTGGCTGTGGGGTTTGATGATGAGATGAAAGTGAGTAGTAATGACTGAGAGATGGCCTTTCATCAGTCTGTACGAAATTAGATAGTAATTTTAGAGTTTCTGGTGAACAGATGCACCCAGGAGACAGTTTTAAAAAAAACAACCACCCAAAATTTAAGCCTGTTCCTGTCAACATAAGCAAAACTGAAAAAAAAAACCCCACACTTACACTAGAAGAAGAATGTCCACGCAGAGGTTTGCAGTTGTTAGCTATAGTGGTTTAAATTCACGAGTTAGGTTATACCAATGCAATGTTCTTGTGTAGTTGTGGGCAGGGTTAGTAGTATGTCGGGAGTGTGTTGGACATCATAATTAGAGCAAGACATTTCCATGAACTCTGTTAGTCTGTTTAATTGGTTATGACACAATCTACGCATCAATGAGAATTATGTTTACTCTCTGTTGGAGTGCAGTTATTTGTTGGTTGGGTATTGAATCATATTCAGCACATCATCAGTATAGTAAAAACTGTGTTATCTGGCACTTTATCAACCGGAAAGCTCTATTATCCGGCATTTCCGATATCTCCCAATACAAATCTTCAATCTAGTAACGGGGACTAGTATACTGCCCAGGACGTTATGCAATTGCACATTCTGCACTCTACTTTTATGCAAAAGAGGTAGAAGACAAACAAGCAAGCTGATATCAGGGATTTATTCAAAAAAGCGTTTTCCAGGGTGTGTCATAGGGCCATTACACATTCAGCCTAATCTACTACACCTTCCACATCTACAATGATCATGATGACCCTGAGGCACTGCAAGAGCCTTGAAGTGCCTTCTGAATCAGCAAAGAAATATTAAATTATGTTCAGTATGGTTTTAGTGTTAAGTGTATTTTTAGTGATCTGGGTGTACGCCATGCACTGCCCATAGTGATATATAGTGTCATTAGATAAAAGTTTTCTATACAGTAGGTTCACCTATATACACCTAAGTGCTTCAAGAAACCAACCACTCTGCAGTGCAGTACTACTACTGGATTGGTGAATATCTGTGTACTGCACTACTGTATTTTATACTTTATTCATTTTATTGTATTCTAATTGTTTGAAAATTGGTATTCCATGTATAACTCTGTTAACCAGAATATTTGATTAACCGGCATCCACCATTCCCCCAACATGCCAGATAACAAAGCTTTTACTGTATTTCTGGTTAATTCCTCATGAATATTGTAAACTATAGGTTTTCATGATCACCTCTGTTGCACAGGATATTAGCACAGGAAGGTGGACCTTACTTTATATATTCTACAAAATTTTAAAATTTGATTTTGAAGACATGCTAAAAATAAAACATATTTTACAAAATACCTTAAGTAATTGAATATATACCACCGTAAGTACTATATCTGTTCATCTAGATTCTAATCCCACTACTCTCCTTATCTGTTCTTAGATCCATAAAAGTATTGTCATTTGTGAATTAAAACAATGAGAATGTCAATAGCCTTCTAGCTTATTATTATAAAGCAGGCAAGGAGAGTGACGAGGGTGCATATATGTTATCCCAGCACAACCAATACCCTGGGTGACTGCTCTGTGGGTTGCCTAATAGAAGCAGCGTGGAAACAGGTAGATTAATAATAATAATAGCCTGAAAATTACCACACGCAGAGGCTAAATAAAATATTTTTGTACAAATTGGAAATAGGAAGAGTTAAAACAAAGTTAAGGTTTAAAATGGAATCAGTGGTCATGTTGTATGCGCTTTAGGCTACATAACTTTGACAGGCTCATGTGCTCCCCTTTCTACCTCCAATTGCTTGCTAAACCCACATGTTGAGCCTTTTCTTAAATTGGATTGGAAGCTGTTCATGGCAGTGACCACCCTGTACTGGATTTGCATATTGTCTAGAACAACGGGACCCCAATCCCGATCTACATGCTGTAATAAAAAGAGATTTCAGAGGAGTTGCAGTTGTTGTGTTTGAGGACTGATAGATGTTTTTTCAGTTTCTGGTATGTAGGAAAATTTAAAACTGGTAGTGTTTGTATGTAAACATAAATGTTTTGGTCAGGATACATTTTGGGTTTTATCTTGGCAATTAGTCAATCTGTAATTACTTTTCTGCTCTAATCAATTTGTCTTGCAAATTTGATCTGAAAAAGATGCAAATTGCTACACTAATAAAAGGGGACACCTGAGCTTCACATGGATGGACCATGTTGATGTGCATCACTTGGTATTAGTGTGAAGTTTCCCATCATTCAGATGTGGTCTTACAGTTTGCATAAAGTTACTAGTTGGTTTCCTTGATCCTAGAATAAATTAGACAAGATCTGCTTAAACTTTTCATTCCCAAATTTCCATTTGCCATAATAGAACTGTCTGGTTCAGAATTACACCTTCAAAGAGTACAGATTTGGCTTCTAAAACAAAGTTACACCTGCTTACTTGAAAGTTTAGGTTCAGAAATGTAAGAGAGATTAATTGAGACTAATTGATATGAAGGAGGTTAGAGATGAAACTTTTCTGAATGAAGATGTGAATCATTGAATGAAGATGTTATTGATTCACATCTTCATTTCTTCATTCAGAAAAGTTTCATCATATTTAAGACATGGTGCGTTGATAAAGAGGAGGAGGATTTTCAAGTGAAGGTCACCAGAGTAATCTCCCTCCCCTCACCCCACACTCATAGTCACATGAAGATGCTAGAGCAAAAATAACTTTGTATAATATTTACCTTGAAATATCTGTGTGTTAATTGGACAGTTGGCCCTGGTGAGCTTGTGTGCTCCATTATATTAATCCTTGGTTTTGAATTTGGTTGCCATGCAGTTGTTCTAGAGTAAGTCTTCATTCTAAAAATCTTTCTATACTTTTTGTTGAAATCAAATTAGTTTGTGCCAAAAAACAGGTATCTAAACCAAATAACACTATAAGCTTTTAAACTCCCAATACTCATGTTTCCACCTGCACCTGAGGACTTCCAAATTTAAGGAGCACAAGAATAAAAATCTGAGGCTACTAACATTTTATGTTTACATTTGTGTAACTTAAAAGTAACTGGAAACTTGATTAAATTTTGGTAAGAAATTTCACTTCCAGCTGGAAGCTTCTTACGACAAACTGATCAAGAGCATGTGTTTACAGCAGAATTATTTTACCCTTGAAAATAGGGAAGTGCTGTGTACACACGCATTACTTTTGCAAACAGTGCCTCAAAGGGCACCAGGCTAGTTCTTATAGGAATTTGGAACATCTCATGAAAGTTGCATGTCACTCCTTTCTGTCAGCAATGTTGGTTTCTTCATTGTAGGCAGTAGACCTTACACTAGAAAACAGTCTTGCTATATATGGAAATATGAATTTGAAGTTGATTAGCTTCCCAAAGCTTTGAAATACCTTTCCTTCCTGTACCCCTCTTCTTCATACATTAGTGGAAATTTCATGAACTGGAAGGCTCAAGGGATTGGTAATAGCTCAAAACTTTCACCATTAGGTTGCCAGTTCAGACAAGATCCCAGCTGTTAATGGCTACAAGTCATTAGACCAGCTGGTTGCCTATGAAATGGAACTGGTGAACTTGGTTCACTTTCTGGTGGACAGGTGTTCACATCCCTTTAATAACACCCCTGTTGGCAGGATCAGAAGAGAGGTTAAGCATTGAATGGGCATGGAGACCAAGTACTCTCACCTCAAATGGTGTTCCCTTCAGGTCAGAGATTAAGTACTTCAGTGGGGCATTGTAGGGCATGCTTGCACTGCCACTGCCCTGGCCAGGCTGTCAGTTGGACGCCATTAAAGAGGGCTAAATTCACTTCAGAATTACCTTGAAAATGGTTTTGTTTTTGTTTTTTTAATCTAAAATTGGGTAAACCTTTCCTTAAAAGGCTCACATCTTGGGATATTTCACGTTAGAAATGTCTTGTATTATTTTTAAATGTACTAATAAAACTGCCAATTTCTTTCAGGTGGGTGTACATGGCATTAGAATAGAATTCATCAATGAAAAAGGATCAAAACGCACCGCCACCTACTTACCGGAGGTTGCAAAGGAGCAAGGTCATTGTTGCACTTTATTTCATATGATCTGGTGAAGAATTTAAATATACATATAAACCTAAAATGCAATATTTGACCTTGCACTGATGTCAGATGATGGAGCAATACTTAACTGTAAGGAACGACTCTTATAAATGCCACTTAAATGCCTGTATAAAATCAATCCCTTTATTGGGAAGATTTCAATAAATTGTAGCAGTTTGTTAAGCAAGTCATAAACAAACAGTAAAGTAGCAGCAATATCCAAAATAAAAGAGGTAGGGGGTGGGACAGTGCTAATTAAAAGCTGCCATTTTTCATACACCCAACTTGCTACAATCAGTGAAATGCAAAACCCGTTTAACTTAGTGATGGGATGACTGCTCGTGGATCTTAACAGTGGAGTTATTTCTCAACCTGCAATACTGAAGTTTTTCTCTCTTAGGCTCTCACTGCCATCACTTAATCCTCTTTAAGAGCTTTGGCTTCCCATTGTTTCTTGGGTGGGTAGAAGGGAGTTGGTTTCATATTGAATGTCCCAAAATACTTTTGTAAATGAAAGTGTGACCCTTTTAAAAGAGGCACAGACTTATAAGTTCATCATTTGGAAGAACAAAATACACTAGTTCTGTTTAATACCAGTATGGTGCTGATCCGCTAACTACTTACTAATGTTTTCTCTTCTAGCCTTGACTCAGGGTTTTTCATTTTTTTTTTCATTTTTGCATTGTTTTTGTATTTGCCTCCTTATGTTTGAATTTGTTAAGAGATAAAGAAAAACCTGCACTAAGGATCACCTTGAATATACAACTCCCTGTCTATAAGTGACCACTTACAATTATCCCTAAGATTTCTAGTACAGTTTTGTTTGTTCTGTAATTATAGTCTGCATCTTTCAGGAAAAAGTGTTTTTTGCTGAGCCCTTATATGGTCACTTAAGACAGCTCATACTATATTTATAAAGTGTAATTGTTATGTGAATTTCTTTAGTCAGAATTTTTATACGTATAATTTTGGGTTCTTTTAAAAAAAACAGGTTTTTATACATGTGGTTTATTAAACAGACAAAGCAAAATGATATATTTAGTCTTGTTAGATACCTATCTGAATAATCTAAGCAATTGTGGCACAAGTACTCCTGTTCTTTTTGCGGATACAGACTAACACGGCTGCTACTCTGAAACCTGTCACTAAGCAATTGTGTATTTCTGAAATACATCTAACAGTTTTATCAATAAAAGATGCACAGTTCATTTTCTACATATTATTGAGATACCATGTATTCAAAATTTGATCGTTATATATTGCTTTAAAATAGTGTAAAAGACTTGTTGGAGGAGAACCATAATTAACCTAAACTATTTGTGGGTTAATACTCCAAAAATTTATAAGCCAACCGCCAGCAAACTATTTAATGTTGTAATTCTGAAATTGGAAAAAAAAAAATCGCTGTTAACTTTAACAGTGGCACTTACAGAAAGGTCTGTGAGACCCCATACCATTTGATGATGAGGCATGGGATTTTTCTGTCCTCCACCTGCACCCCTTAAAGCACACTTTGAGCCAGTTAAGATTGCTTACATGCAATATTTCCACTAGAAATTTGATTTTCAAGTGGTTCTATGTATTTTATTTCAATATGATTTAAAGGGTTACTGTGATACACGACCTTGCCATAGTAGGATGAAGTCTTTGTTTTCTTTTACAAGCCTTTAGACTTTGGAAGGATATAATTTTTGTTTTTCCATATCCAGAAAGCATGGCTGTATTGGATCTACTTTTAAACTATGTGCAAGATCTTTGCCTTGCACAATAAACTTACTTTGATGTAGGAAGACTCCTGTATATAGTACTTCCTGCAAGAGGCTGTTCTTAGGAACACAGGAATTTACAGGTTACAGATCTATGGGAATCTTTATAATGGACTTTAGCAGAGTAGATGCAAAAACATAACATGAAGTAATATTTTAATGTAAAGTCTGTTTAATTACATGCTCTTTGTTGATATTTATTCTGATAAAACTCAACAGGATGGGACCACATTCAGACCATAGATTCCTTATTGAGGAAAGGAGGCTACAAAGCTCCAATTACTAATGAGTTCAGGAAAACCATAAAACTGACCAGGTATGTATTAGGGGCTACATTACAGATATGTTTTGTTATTTCAATATTGCCCCAATTTATTTATTTCCTGCAGACATCTGCTAAAATATTGATGGTAAAGTCTTCCTTCATAGTAACAGATTTAACAATATCTTTCCTTCTGCAACAGTGGTCCTTTCTTCTTTTGGTGTGTGTCTGTAAATTCCATTAATCATCACAGGAGTTCACAACATTCAGCAAGGGAAGAATGAATTGCTGTTTAATGTATGTCTTTCCGAGAGTCCTCTGTATATTTTATTTCATGCTGCTGCTTAAAGATTGCAACTTGGAAAAACGATAGGGGTGTGGTAGCTCTTGCTTTCCAAAGTTAGTGCACTGGGTGTAATAGATATCCCCTCTAGGGTTCGAGAGAGATTAGGAACTTTCACCATTCAAAATTCTAAAGTTCAGCTTGTGCAGATGCTTCATATGCCCCTGCTAGGAAACTACATTACCCTCCCAACTTTTCTGAAAGAAAGGTGATACATTACTCCTACAGCTGGGTTAATTGGGCTGACAGTCCCTATATTGTTGGGCTGGGGATGTCACTCCCTCCTCACAAACCAGGCAGTGTTTGTTGACTTTTAGTGCTTTGAGATTACCTTCTCATTTGTAGAGGACACACCGTCAACTGGATGATGTAGAAATGTGGTTTTAATAGGGGCGGTTCTGCATGCACAAAGAGAGGTACATTGTTATAAACTTGAAAAATAAATAAATTACAAAATTGAGAGACTGCAGAACTCTCAATTTGATCAGCTGATTATCTACTAAGAGTCAGAGAAAAAAGAATTACAAGTAAGTCATTTTCACTTCTCCAAAGGTACCATTGGTAATAGTTAACCATTCCTGGAGACGGGAAAGCTAATAGAATGTCTCTAGAAAGATTTTTCCTTGGTGACAATTACTTCGTTTTAGACACATAATTCCCTTCAAGCCTCAGTGACTAGACCCACTTATACAAAATGGTTTAAGGATAAGGTGGTGCTACACACTTGCCCTAAATTTCTTCCAAAGGTGGTAGTGACATTCTACACCAGTTAACCATCGTGCTGTCAATACTCTTCTCAAGCCATTACGTCTATTCAAATAAGATCTTTCTCTATAAGTTCATCATCAATGGGCCATGAGGCTATAGTAAAATAAGGCCTTCTAAAGTCCATTTGGCACTAATACTCCTGGACATGTTGTTCTCAAAAGAACCATGGAGAAGAATCTCTCATTACTACTTCTTTGCAGAACTAAAACTTAAAGATCCTGTTAAGGCACAACAAGAGTAATATATGTGTCCTTAGCAAGCCACTGATCTCTTTCTGTCTGAAATTTTCAGGGTAGCCACGTGGTAACCACCCACCTTCGTACATTAGAAGGAACAGAACTTAGAATCTTCAGCACCAAAGGATAGGCTAGCTGTAGCACTGAATTAAGTATCGGGCTGCATGGTTTCCGAGAAAAGCCACTACAGAAAGTCATGATTACTCACACTAGGCCAATATATTATACAAAGCATTATTGCTTGGGCTCAGTCTTTGAGCAAAAGTCAAATTTGGTCTATCTGTGTTACCAGAACTTGTTCCTCTACTAAAACTGCACGAAATTTCCTGCCTCCTAACGAACACTTAATGTAATTTTTGAATGTCCCCATAGATTAAGAATTTGTTTTGAAGTATCTTAGACACTTTAAAAGGAAAGACAGGTTTGTGTGGGTTTTAATTTTCTTTTCTTATAATTTGCGTGTCTCATTCCTATTTGGATTCTCCCTTCTGCATGCAGGTAGACTTGTCACTCAGATTCATAACAAAAGCCAGTCCTCTGTAGAAAGCTCCAGATGTCATTATTCCAACAGTGATACCAATACAGTGACCACTAAATATAGAATTACTTCCTTCATCTTTTTGTAGACAGCCACTTTTTTTCATTTATTTCAATATAGCAACATGAGAGAGATGTAGGAATATTTGTCCCATGTATTTTTATTTATTTATGTATATCACCCCAAGTACTGAAACTAGAAGAAAAGAAACTAACAGGCAGGACAAAATGTCGTCCTTTATTTTCATGGGTGACAATCCAAAGTAGAAGTAAGATCCCAGTAGCACAGATCTGGCCATCTGCCCCTTTGCTGGCTACCCACTGGACTGTTGTGAAGGAAAAATTCTGTGTCTCTGCATTCCTGTGTGTTTTAAGCTGCTGGAGCCTTAATGAAGTCCAGCCACTGCTCCAATCCCTAGTTCCCTAAGCATTACTGTTGAGATGCTAACCTTTTTTCTGGCACCCTCTTCTGAAAGCAGGAACCTGCTGTCAAGCTGCCTAGCCCCTGAACGCTGTGCTGACCCTTCAGACTCCCCCGTGCTTAAACACACCCTCTCCTAGAATTTCACCCTAAAGGAGTGAAGTTTCTGATAACAGTTTAGTTCTCTCTCGAGGAACTGTAGTTCCTGTTTGAGTGATTGCACATGTGCATTGCACCGTAAGTCTGTAAGCGCCCCGAGCACAGTCACCAGACATTTTCCCCTCTATGGTACCCATCAGGGCGGTTAAGTGCCCTCTGATGCCATGCGCCTATAGTTCCAATATAAATCACCCCACTGACCCCACACCTCTTCAGTTCCTTCTTACCGCCCGTGATGGATAGCAGTTCCAGTGACCTTCCTTTGGCAAGCTGTCTCAGTGGTCTTCTTTTTCTTTTATTTGTATAGTTAGTTGTAACTCGTTTTAGTGAAGTTCTGTAACTTGGTGATTTAGCAGAGTTTTTGTCCGTTCTCTGGTGCTGAGGCATGCCTCAGTCACCGGGCTTTGAGCCCTGCGCCTCCTGCAACAAGGCTATGCTCCTGACCTACCTACACTCAAGCTGCAAGTACCTAGGAGAAGTTCACGTTGGGGACCGTTGCCAGATCTGCAGAGACTTTAAACCTCTCACAAAGAAGGATTGGGAGGCCAGGCTGAAGTTTTTGCTCATGGAGCCGCATTGAGACCTCCATCTGAGCCAGGTTGGTGAGTCTCGGCATCGAGTGCCTGGGCATTGGTAAGGAGTGCTTCTCCTGTCATACCTGAGTCCTGGCACCGATCACCAACGAGGATGGCCAGGCATGGGCACCAGTGTAGAGTTAGATCTAAACCAGGTCACTCCTCTGGCTCAATACTGCAGAAGTCTGAACTGTTGGACTCTGGCACTTACGCAGGCACCTTCAAGTCCAGTACCGGATGAGCCGTTTACATCTGCAACACAGTGCAGTACCAACACTCTATCGGTACCGACCATGCTGGAGGGCACCACCATCTCATCTGGCAGCACCCGGTCTCGACTCCCGTACCGAGTTCAGTACCAAATTACAGGAGCCTGCCGAGCCAACAGGGACAAAGCGTATCCCCAGCTGATGCTGGCCGCCTCCTCCATTGACAAGGCAGTCTCAGGGACGGGCGTGTCAGCTCCCCCGATGCTATAAGCCTCACCAAGACCTGTTGAAGAGGGTGGCCTTAAATCTGGACATACAGGTGAAGGTAGTGAGGGAATCCTCCCATAGCCTACTTGACATTTTAGCAGCTGCAGGCCCATCAAAAGTAGCCCGGCCTCACTGAGAGGCCATTATGGACCCCTGCATCACTTCCACCCATGTCAAAAACGGCTGCGCGAAAATACTTTGTTCCTTCCCAGGGTTACGAGCACTTGTACACCCATCTTCCCCTCCCTCCCACCACGGGATCCCTGCTGGTATCCACTGCCAATGAGAGAGTAAGACAGGATCATCAGCCCCCAATTTTATAGGGACAGTCCCACTATTTAGGGCTTTTTCTTATATAGGCTCCTATTACCTTCCCTCCCCCCCCCTCCCAATTTTTCACATTTTCTATCTGGTCACCCTATCAGGGTGCAATCCCAAAATCAAAGGACTCAAAGAAACTGGATAACTGGATTTGTATGGTAGGAAAGTTTATTCTACTAGGGGGGTCACAACTCAAAATTGCAAACCAGCAGGCACTGCTGGGCAGGTATGGTTTTAACATGTTGGACTCCATGCATGGTCCCACAAGAGGTTAGGCAAGAGTACTCCTCACTGTTGAAAAAGGGAAAATTAGTGGCAGGTGGCTCGTTGCAAGCCGCTTTGGATGTGGCTGGCTCGACTTTGGCAGTGGACATGTGCAGGAATTCATGACTACTGTCCTTGGGACTCCCACAGGAGGTCCAGCAAACCCTGCAGGATGTACTTTTTGAAGCTTCATGGATTAAGAGACTCCAGGGGAACCCTTAAGTCCCTTGGACTGTACACATCAGCACCCTTCAAGGAAGCACTATAGGCCCCAACAGCCCGCCCAGTACTGTGCTTAAATTGCAGCAAGGGCAGTTTAGGTTGGACATTAGGAAAAGCTTCCTAACTGTCAGCGTAGTTAAACACTGGAATAAATTACCTAGGGAGAAGACAACAGAGGGTCCTGTGGCACCTTTGAGACTAACAGAAGTATTGGGAGCATAAGCTTTCGTGGGTAAGAACCTCACTTCTTCAGATGCAAGCCCTTGCATCAGTCTTGCATCTGAAGAAGTGAGGTTCTTACCCACGAAAGCTT